CAACCAAAAAATGGCCGGTGCTGTGGCAGGCGCCTGTAGTCCCAGCTACTTGGGAGGCTGAGGCAGGAGACTCGCTTGAGCCCAGGAGTTGGAGGTTGCTGTGAGCTGTGAGACCATAGCACTCTATCCAGGGGGGTATCTTGAGGCTCCGTCTCAAAAAAAAAAAAAAAAAAAAGGTACAATGTTGTAAAGATGTTAATCCTTCAAATTAAAAATTCAAGGCAATTCCAATGAAAATCCAAATGGACTTTGTCATGGAACTTGCTAAGTTGATTCTAAACTTCTTGAGTTTAACTGAGGTTTTATCTCATATGGGTCTGTAATTGTTAATCTCCTAGTTTCAGACTGGTACTGAGTACATGTGTCACTTGTTTTTCCATTCTTGTGATATTTAGGAGAATTTTCTCCAATCCATCAAGATTGTTACAAAGGATGCAAAATATCCATCTGTTTTTAGGGATGAATAATATTCCATGGTATACATATACGACAGTTTATTAATCTATTCGTGTGTTGGACAATTGAGTTGTTTCCACATCTTTGTGATTACATGAACTGTGTGGCTATGAACATTCTTTCTCTTTTTTTTTTTTAGAGGCAGAGTCTTACTTTGTCGCCCACGGTAGAGTGCCCTGGCATCACAGCTTACAGCGACCTCCAGCTCTTGGGCTTAGATGATTCTCTTGCCTCAGCCTCCCAAGTAGCTGGGACTACAGGCGCCCACCACAACGCCCACCTTTTTTTGTTGCAGTTTGGCCGGGGCTGGCTTCAAACCCACTACCCTAAGTATATGGGGCTGGCGTCCTACCCAGTGAGGCACAGGCGCTGCCCGGCTATGAACATTCTAGTGTTAATGTCCCTGTGGAAAAAAATGTCTTTTTTTTTTTCTTTTGGGTAGATGCCTAGTAGTGGAATTGCAGGGTCAAATGGTAGGTCTACTTTTAGTTCTTTGTGGAATTTCCATAATTCTTTCAATAGAAAATATACTAGTTTGCAGTTCCACTAACAGTGCATGAGTGTTCCCTTGTCTCTGCACCAGCAGAGACCTTGTTGGACCTTGTGATGTGAGCCATTCTCACTGAGGTTAGATGATATCTCAAAGTGGTTTTGTTTTGCATTTCTCTGATAATTAGGGATGATGGGCATTTTTTTTCATGCGTTTATTGGCCATTCTTCTGTTCTCATAAGAAGAGTTTCTACTCATGTCTCTTGCCCAGGTTTGTTTTCTTTAGTTTTGTTGTAGGGACAGAGTCTCACTCTATTGCCCTCAGTAGACTGCCCTGGGGTCACACAGCTCACAGCAACCTCCAACTCCTGGGCTTAGGCAATTCTCTTGCCTCAGCCTCCGAAGTAGCTGGGACTACAGGCACCCACCACAACGCCCAGCTATTGTTTTGTTGCAGTTTGGCCGGGGCCAGGTTCAAACCCACCACCCTCAGTATATGGGGCCAGCACCCTACCCACTGAGCCACAGGCGCTGCCCTGTTTTTTGTTTTTGAGACAGAGTCTCACTATGTTGCTCTCAGTAGAGTGCTATGGCATCACAGCTTACAGCAACCTCAAACTCTTGGGCTTAAGTGATTCTCTTCCCTTAGCCTCCCAAGTAGGTGGGACTACAGGCACTCCCCGCTATTTTTGTTGTTGTTCTTGCAGTTGTCATTGTTCTGTTTTTTGGTTTTTTTTGAGACAGAGCCTCAAGCTGTCCCCCTGGGCAGAGTGCCGAGGCATTACAGCTCACAGCAACCTCCAACTCCTGGGCTCAAGCGAGTCTCCTGCCTCCGCCTCCCAAGTAGCTGGGACCACA